GAGAGCAACATTATCTCCATTTAGAGGGATAAGATCGAATGTTTCCCAAGTAGATGGAGCATCACGATTAGCAATTAAGGGACTATTTCCAGCATTGTCGGCGCATACAAATTGGCCGTTGGCGTTCGAGCGAAGGGTTATAATTCTGGAGCTGGCCTCTGTGGTAATAGTTTCGTTGCTTTGCCTAAAAAATTAGTTGAAAATATAGTAATATGACTGTAGGTCAAATTATGTCTGATCCTACCCGTTTACATAGACTTGACCGAGTTGAGATAAGTTTCCACTGTTATCAATTAGACAATTTCCAGAGCCCAATGCTGAATCGAGATGACGTGTAGCACCAAACCATGCATATCGTTCAATCCAGCTGGTACGATCAAGTTTCGTCGTGGCTTGACGGAAGAAATCATTTATTTCTTCTTGTGAAACCGGATGACCTGCATTCCAAGAAGTGCATGCAAACTCAGTAACCCACACTGGTTTATTGCCGAATCGTTCGTGAGCTTTAGTGATAAAGCGAAGAAAATTGTCTGCCCCACGACCGTACCAATGAAGAGCAAGAAAGTCTACGTGACAACCTGTACTGAGAAAAGCTTCCAGTAAGTTGAGTCCTTCTTCAGTACTAGCTATACTAGGCGATCCTAAAAGAATACCTTCATTGGCCAGTGGTTCGATGTATTTTTTCCATATATGAGCAGCATCGGTTGCATTCATGTTTGCCTGTTCTCTTCGTTCAGGCTCATTAAAACCCAATATGATCTTCGCCCCTTGAGTGCGGACTTTATTTGCGAATTGTGCTGGATCTTCCTTGTTGGCACTCCAGTACATGGGAATAAATTCAAGATTTACATCTGATCGATTGTCGGATGACCAGTTGTAGAACCACGCAAGTCTAGCATTAGCAAATAGGTGCGGGGAATCTTGCGTATTTTCCAAGGGCCAGGCAAGACCACGCTTCTTTGCCATCGAAAAAGATAAAAGTCTTCAAGAGCAGTGCACAATAACCGTCTATTAAATGCTTCCAATTTTTCTAATCTTTTATCTAAAGGCAAACGAGATGCAAATAGTGCCAACAACCAACAACGAAAAACCATTACATGACTCATTTACTGATCGATTTTTCTTTCTTGTTTAGTGAAAGAGTCATGATAGGCGATTTTACTTATTTTAGAAATTCCCTCTTTTACTACTTATTGTCACTGTATTATCATCGAATCAATAATGTCGAACTCGATTAACGTAATAAATCGAAGTCCCAAAACCATACGAATAGGCTTTTTCAAGAACCGTGGTCCTTATCAACCATCATTCGATGCTGAAAAGATCGTTGAGGTTCAGCCACATGGAAATCAATCAGTAATACTCGAACATGGATGGGAAGGTCGTATTCAGAAACTCTCCGGTGCTGCTAATGACCCAGCAACATGGGCTGAAATTCATTTTAACGCCTGGCAAAATATGACATTTGCCGATATCAGTCTTATTCGAGGATACAACGGATCAATGGTCTTTACAAGTAGCGACGGTACCCTACGTACTGGCATGACAGGTGACCTATGGACAGATGCGCCGAACAAGTTCAAGATAAAAGATTCTCAAGGCAACGACGTCGTCGCTCCGACTGAGCCATACACAGGTGAACGAAACGATGAACTTGTTGCTTACTATCGACGTAAAGTAACCGAAGGAAATGGATATCTTATTCCGGACGATCATGGTAGCTCACATGGCACAGGAGATACTCACATTAATCTTGAAGTTTATGAAATTAAAAGTAACACTAATGAAAATATTACAACAGAGACCAGCTCCAGAGTCATAACCATTCGATCGAACGCCAACGGCCAATTTGTATGCGCCGACAATGCTGGAAATAGTCCCTTAATTGCTAATCGTGATGCTCCATCTACTTGGGAAACATTCGATCTTATCACTCTAAATGGAGATAATGTTGCTCTCAAGTCACATGCCAATGGACAATATGTTTGCGCTGAAAATGCAGGAAACAGTTCTTTGATAGCCAATCGCACTTCAATTAGTTCTTGGGAAACTTTTCGAATCGTTGATCGTGGTAATGGAAAGGTAGCTTTTATTGCAGTTAATAGAAAATACGTCTGTGCTGACAACTTTGGAAATAGCGAATTAATTGCTAACCGAACTACTGTCGATACTTGGGAAACTTTTGACTTAGTTCCACAGTGACCTATTTCCAAGAACCTCTTCCAAATATGAATTCATAATTTTATCTCTTTATAGAATACTGTTTTTGCAACGAGTTTCATTCTTTAATTAACCGTCGAAAGAAAGTTGTTTTTGTCTCTCTGGTGTCGAATGCTAGTGGGTCTAGAAATCTTGTAAGGCAGCTCAATCATTCTGAAGCAAGAAGGCATGAAATTTAGCGTGAAATAGGGACAAAAATAGTTAGTAGCTTAATGTAAAATTCTCCACAAATGGGAGAAGGTAGCAGAAGTAATTTTCTACCAGGAAGTATAAGTCATTTTTCAGTGAGAGAAAAACCGTTCATTTATGGATGTTCTCCCGTTGCTCGCTCGTAGCTATGACATCATAGGAAAATACTACCATCTAACTGAAACATAAAAAGCTTTCGGCATCAGATTCCATCGTACTTCTCGTATTTGCTTTGAAGCTGCCATGATATGTGGCATTTTCTATTTATGATTCTTGCTTTGTCGTGAAGCATTATTTAGTCAATTATACACCATAGAAGTTTAACTGCTTCGAAAAAATCCCTCATGGTGGTAAAATAACACCAAATATGAAGAGATCCTACCGCTTTTTATTAAAATAAAAAATTGTCATAAATTCTTGGACTTTGACATGAAAAGTAATTTAATACTACTATATTGTTTGCACAAATAGAATCTTTCTTTGACTTGCAAAAAACATAAATAGCGTTCTGTCTTTGGATATACTTAAAAAGCAGAACACTCATGTTCTGGTTTCTAGAATGTGATATTGAAATTCTAGTTACGCAGACATCAGAATGAAAGATAGTTACTTAGAAAATAATGCGAACTCATTAAAAGTAGTATTATCTAATGATAGCAGTTGTTTGTATGTAGCACACTTAGTTGTAACAACTTAAGGTGAACATCAATGTAGTGTTATAACAAGGATTTTGCAGTTGAAGGCATCGGACTTTGTTTGCTTGAAGTAATTCATTGAATACGACAGGGAAGGGACAGGAAAAGGCGACACACCAATACTATGAGGCACGCTATTCTGGTGAACGAGCTCTTTCTGACTGAGCTTCTCTCTCCCCAATACCTAGTGGTTCAGCTACTACATGGAACCAACCAGTATCCATTTATAGACGCCATCATATTCCGAAACAAAAATTATGGATTAGGCTTTTTTACGTGTGAAAAATAAGTTCGAATTCAACTGTGGGATAAAGTCTGAAAGATTTCGCGGAATACGAAAGTAACAAAAGTGTAAGTTAAAAATAGCTTCTATAAGTTTTGTTCTCGAAGAGTTCGTAAAAGAGAAACTGAACTACATATATTGACGGTCTAAAACTGCATAATATTTCACCAATCGTTTTCAATCGTTCTCAGCGCATTTTCATGACCTCATAACTATATCTTTATCAACTTTTTTAAGAAAGAGGAAACTTTAAGCATCTACTTACAGTTCTTGCATTCTCACGAATCATAGGCTTTCAGATCAGCTCCATAATAAACAAACCATATGCTTCAAAGAATTCGACCACATCTAACGTAAGCCTTTTTCTTTGTCCAAGGCAAGATTTACTGTTTCTAGACTCGATTTAAAACCATGTTACTACTAGAATACGCATCGAAGTAATAGAAGATGTGCAGGATTATGTTCAACGCATTTCAATGGCAGCAGCAGCACCAGTGCAACATACATGATTGAATATAGAAGTGTGCTTGATCACAACATCATGGCATGCAAGCAAAGCTGCGTTTTTCATTACTTTTTCATTATCTGTTTATTTATGTGCAGAAATTCAATGTAATTAGTTTTTATACATAAATAACCAAACAATGTTGTGTCATTGCATCAACATGAAGCATCGACTACAGGATACCATAAAATGTTGATTGCGTGGATGCGTTTCTTTCTTTCTCCTCACCTGTACGATACCTGCGCAAACATGCTTACTGTCAGCAAGGATGCTGCAATCAACTGCATATTTCATGGATGTTCATTGTCCATAACTTCTAATGAGAGGTTGCTTGATGAATGTGTTGATTGCAATCATGATTCTGATTGAGAACGAGCCATGCATATTTGCCAGGAATCTCAAATGATTCAGATAAAAATGAGAAATGATAGAATTAGTATCAAAGGGCAATCAGACAAAGGTAAATTTTATTTTATACAACGAAAATTACATGAAGCGAGATATACAGTGCAAAGTATTAGTGTGAAATGCTGATATTTTTATATCATATTGCAAGTATTCATAGAGAATAATCGATTTTCGTGTTTTTTTGGTAAAAAAATGAACGCTTATTCTATTAGCGTACAATGATGAATGTATTTTACCGGAAAAGCGGTTTCAGTAGGGTATATTGCATGTGAAATCCTTGTGCTAGTGCTTTGGACTATGCCAGAAATAATGTAGAGTTTCCATGCCAATTCATTGTTTCACACTTTTGCTATACTGATAGCCAAATGAGATTTACAGTTTTTTTGAGTGGAGAACGATCGAAATAAATAGTATTTAGAATTATTTTCTGTTAATAAATCATATATGCTCGTGGAAGAATGGAGCAACTCATTCAATGGGTAAATGTAAAGAGTCTGAAATGGTTTAGTTGTTTTTTGCATATCGCTCAGCGTCTAAACCATATCGAGATAATTATATGAGTAGCCATTCAATTTCTCCATGAGTTGCATCCTATGTAAAGACTCAATAGATGGTCCATTGCAGTGTGGTGTGGAAAACCTTGAAGATAGTATTTTCCAAGCCCCGGATGTCTTTATGTGCAGATTTTTTAGGATTGATGTCTAGAAGAGAGCAACCATCTGCAGAAAATAAAGGGAAGCATTTTCTACCTCCTTCCAATAAAAAGTTATAGACACAAGAAAAGAAGATAGTGGAAAATGTCGAAAAGGAAAACGTCCAAAGAGGAAAATATCGAAAGAGAAAAATTTCGAAAATGCAAATGTCGAAATAAGAAAGAGAAGATACATGAGAAATGGAAACGTCGAATCTTTTAAAAGGTATCAGTACAAAATTCAATTCCTTTTATTTGTATTGGTCACTTGTCGAGCAGCGCATTTTATTTTCCTTCGAATAAAGAAAATTTTTAACTTTAAATAGATATATCGTCAAAACTACCTCAAACACAACCTCTAAAAACAGTTCCTTAAAAACTCAGCGATTTGAGATACCGTTCGCTACATCAAACAAAGGCAAATCATTAATAATATATGGCAATTTCTTATGCAGATGCAATAAAACAACAGCCTTTAAAATCTATTGGATATGTAGTAAAAAAGAGTGTGGCTTATCATCTATCACAAGAATAGAACAATCATTTTAATCTCATCCTTTTTAGTCGTTTAAATTTTCGACATTTTCCACTAAGATCCAAGAAAATGCTGAAAAGAACGAAATTCATTAAAAAAACATTCGACGAAAGCACGCTTTGTCCTGATTTTCAAATGTCTGTAACTTCGAATGATAGACCTTTCTTGAAATTGTTAAACAAGTGTCTCAATGGAGTATGGGTGTGAAAATGTCCACGCTTATTTGTTGGCTTCTCTGTGCAAGAAACATGGATAAAGAAAATTGATCGAACAGAATGAATACGAGAGCCTATAAGTATGACCGATTGTCCATTGTCAATAAAATTGATTTGATCTTGTTCTGAAACAGACTGAATATATGCTGAGATTGTATTTCATCTTCGAATGTTGTCAAGTGACTGATCGTTGGCCGAATTTGCTGTTGAACAGTAATGCCTTCTGATTGTGTATCGATAAAGTTATCAAACCAAATGAGAGAATCTTTCGAACTTATCGTTTGTTCTTGTATGGAATATTTCTGTCATGACTCTGTGAGATGATAACGTTGTTAACTACTATGATTTCGCCGTTATACCAATACCTTTATCTGGTAAAAAATTCCCAGGTTTCAAACTCGTATACACTCAGGTTTTTGATGTAGGTTCGCGAGAGATTAAATCCATAAAATCAGTTTTATATGTGGCACGTTTTCTACAATTATCTTCTGTCGCCATGCTTGGGAATAGCACATGTAGTTGATGCTGAACAATGTTTCATCGAACTTTTGCAACGCAACCACACTCACGTTGATCGCTTGATAAGACGACTCTATCATGACTGACTATTGGACTTAGACTCGTTTTAATTTTTTTCTTATTCGGTAAATTGTTTGACTCAAAATAGGTGTATTTCAAGGGAGAAATCATGTTCACCGGTGGACAGCACAAATGTGACGAAATTAGGGTCGCTTGTTCTATCCTGTCTCTGAACAAAATGAATAGTAGTTATAACTAATGAAGACTGATCTCACAAAAAAAGCTTCGAAAATCTCGAGCTGTCTGGTTTTTCTCAAAAGTATTAGATTGTTTTCCTTCTGTATTAGCAGTGCTTCGTCGAAGAATGTGGAAGATATATAAAGAGAGCAGGGTAACTTTCTATTTCCACGAAATTCAAATTTCTACACATCACCATATAATTCATGCACCAGCTACGGAACATCGCTCCAAGTGTGCGGATTGATGCTATATGATATATAGCTCAAAACTACTTTTAACACACTATTCAAGGTAAACAACTTTCTCTATGATGTAAGCATCAGTCAGCAAAAAGTTTTAACATGAAAATATACAGGAATAAAGTCTTTATCTTTGGGAGTTGGGTTGAATTAGGTCAGGAAAATTCATATTCTTGATGTCTCCTATCTTGAAATTCGTTATTGAGCGTCTTCCATCTTAGGAAAAATCAGGAGCACTTCAAGGTAGTGGTTTCCGTATCTGTTTGACTTGTAAAATCTATTTGAAATGAAGCCATCATCACCCAATCTTAGTTGGAATAAAGAAATGATGAAACTCGTGGGTCTGGGTGTGCATGAGAGAATTGGTATCAATGCTGCTCCTGTTTTCGCTCACTGACCCTCGTTCTATGGATGGTTGCCGACACCCACACTCTTTGGAAGCGAAAGAATTTGATAAAAATGT